AAGCAAATGTATATGGTCACTGAATACATTTCAAGATGTTCCAGCTTACAACTTTTTTCCTTCTCTTTCCTTGAAGCACAGAGAGGTAGCAACATTAGGTAGAAGTAGACACAGGAAACTGGCATGGGTGGATGATGACACAAGGCATAGCTATTTTCAAAGAGAAGTAAACTTTGTGGTCTCCTTGGTTAAAGACACTTTGTGTCCAGGTGGTGAAGATGCAACAGAGAATGGCCTGTTCCTAGCTCAGTGGCCTCCTCTGACAAAATCCCCACTCCACCAACTGAGCTGTGTGTGTGTGTGTGTGTGTGTTTTAAATATATTTTTATTTATTTCAGAGATGAGGAAGGGAGAGGGAGAGATAGAAACTTCAATGATGAGAGAGAATCATTGTCTGGCTGCCTCCTGCACATCCCACACTGGTAATAGAGCCCACAACCCTGGCATGTGCCCTGACCAGGAATCAACCTGTGACCTTCTGGTTCACAGGTTAACACCCAACCACTGACCCACACTGGCCGGGCTGTTGTTTTTTTAAATATCTTTATTGATTCAGAGAGGAAGGGAGGGGGAAGAAAGAGGGAAAGGGAGAGAGAGAGGGAGAGGGAGAAAGAGAGGGAGAGAGACATCAAGATGAAAGAGAATCATTGATAGGCTGCCTCCTGCATGCCCCCCACTGGGGAGGGGGGAGAACCCAGCGATGTGCCCTGCTGGGGATTGAAACCCTGACCTCCTCATTCATAGGTCCACACTCAATCACTGACCCCACCAGCCAGGCCTGAGCTGTGTTTATTTCTAGGCAGGGTCACCTTAGCCTAGAGGGTGAATGAAGTTCTAGGCAGATATGGTACCAGACTGCAGTAGAAGGAAATATTTCTTACAGAGAGGAAATGTTAATCTCTTAATTTAAACAGAATATTTCCTCCCAAACGAAGACGATAACATTTGGCTTGCTTTTGACCTACCACCTCCAGTGATGGCAAACCTTTTGAGCTCGGCGTGTCAGCATTTTGAAAAACCCTAACTTGCCGAAACCGGTTTGGCTCAGTGGATAGAGCGTCGGCCTACGGACTGAAAGGTCACAGGTTCAATTCCGGTCAAACATTTTTGATATTTATTTTATATATTTAAATGCCATTTAACAAAGAAAAATCAACCGAAAAAATGAGTTCGTTTGTCACCTCTGACACGCGTGTCATAGGTTCGCCATCACTGATCCTAGGCAGACAATACATTCCTATAGAGCGCCTTGAGGCCACCCTGATCTGCTTCCCCAACACCTTGCCGCAGGCCACAGAAGCAAGCTTTTAAGACCTGTGCAATAGCTACACATCTCCACCTCCCGCCTTTCCAGCACCTATCTCCGGAGTCCACAGCGTTTCCATTCTTTTGGTCTCCATGGATTTTATCCAGGGCTCCGTCAGGAGCAGGGTCTGCGCACGTGGTTCTCACAGCGAGCCGATCCAGCAGCCGCTGGCTTTGTGAAGCAGCCTCGAGCTGCGACTCTACGTACAAATTTAAAATACGAAACAGATTTGTAAAGGCTCACGGTGAGGCTGCTGACTTATTGCTAACAAAGGACTTCAGAGGGCACTGTCCTTCTTTGTTTGCAAGGAGCGAAATTTCTCAGCGCGAATACCAGGAGAAACCGCGGGGAAAGAAAAGTGGGGTTAGAATCAAGAACCGACAGTTTGGGTTTCAGCAGCTTCTGGGCTCTGGGCGAGCCGGGCGGGGCCGCCGTAGCCTGTAGGGCTCATTTCTGCGCCTCGCATCGGAAAGGAAGCTGGGAGGTGGGGGTGTGGGAGGCTGAGCTGCAGGGCTGGGCCCCCGCCGAGTGGCTATGCGGTCTCGGTTGGACATTTCCATGTACCAGAGCCTCCGCTTCCTAACCTGTGAAACAAGGGGGCTGGACTGGTCATCTCTACCGTCCTCTTAGAGATTTAATTCCAAATCCTAATTTTTTTAAAGGGATTTTTTTTTTAGCTCCCAGTGGAAAGACAAGCCATCTTTTCTCCTGGCCCGCGGCGCTTCAGACACGTGTGTGCCGGGCCATTTCTTTGCTGAACTCCAAACTAACACAACTGAGCGGTAGGAGACAGGAAGGGTCCAGCCCGAGGGCGACGCAGGCTTCCTCGCTAGTGAGAGGGGGCGGCGCCGCGGCTCCTTTGAGCCGTTCGCTTTGAATCAAGCGGCCTCGGCGATTGGCTGCGAAGCGCGTGGGCACGCCCCCCGGACGGCGCCGGGCTCCGGGCCGCGTGGGGCAGAGTCCGCCTGTGGCTGCCCCAGGGGTCA